GACAGACTTGGACAACTGCTTAGATTTGAGCAGAAGACCTTTATTGAGTGTCAACAGTGGGCTTTTTTACTTATATGTCTTTCATGTAAACACAAAGCCAGGTGTGTGACGGGCGTCCCCCACCCACCAGATATTCCTTCAGTTATGAGGAAGAAAATCACATAACAGATTGCCTATAAATCCTTTTCGTCCTATGCTAGCTTATGCTAATACCAAGTTAAACAATAGATAACCTAAAAATCCCATAACAAACACTAACCTTAATCCGTGACTGACCTATCCTATAAACCTTTTTCATCCTAAGCTGATTTATACTAATACCAAGTTAAACAATTCTATAGAAACTTAAGTACTTACTTTACAACCTGAAGAGGGCCTTCCCAGAATGTTTGGAATGTGGCCAGTCCAAAGTTCATAGTGGGCTACCTGCAAGTAAGCTAGCCGCATTTTTTCAACAAAATGGCTGTCTTCTAGAACTATATTCTACAATTTACACCTTATTCAACTTCAGTAAATTCTAAGATCATGACCCAGAAACCTGTGACCAATACTAAGGCTCTTAGATGTGACCCGAGTTTGAACTGTAAGTTGTGCGAAAGCCAAAACTGCAGTTTGTGGAAGAATGGGAGCAATGAGCTTCTAAAGTTAGCTTGTGTCCGTCCCAGCCTCAGAGTTTTTATGTTTTGAGCTTACAGGAGCTTATTTTGGTTAGTGCTGAGTAGAAAGGGGGAGGGAATGGGTTCAACAGCTCCCAAACACATCCTAGTGGTCTCGGGGTCAACGACTCTTCCTGATCCCAAGTGCTCAGTGGGCCTCCATGGCTGGCTCCCAACAGACCGTGGTCCTGTGGTCTGACGAAACGAGGTATCTGTTTAGGGACCTTTTGGAATATAGTCAGTTCTGCTATTGTGCAGCGTGTGCTTCTTAAAAATCGCTGCTATGAGGCAGGGCGCAGTGGCTCATGCTTGTAATCTTCAGCACTTTGGGAGGCCGAGGTAGGAGGATTGCATGAGCCCAGGAGTTTGAGACCAGCCTGGGCAACATAGTGAAGAGACCTGGTCTCTGCAAAACCTCAAAAAATTAGCCAGGTGTGGTGGTGCGTGCCTGTAGTCCCAGCTACTCTCGAGACAGGAGGATCACCTGAGCACAGGAGGCCAAGGCTGCAGTGAGCCGTGATGGTCCCACGGGACTCCAGCCTGGGTGACAGAGTGAGACCTCAGCTGAAACAAAGGAGTCACTGGTATGCATGCGTTGTGCGAGTTTGAGCCACGTGTGTGATGTGCAGGGGTGTGGGTGGTGCTGACTGCTCAGTTTATGTTGCTGGTCCTTCTATGGCAGTGTGTGTGGCTTTATCTTATGACTGCCTATTGTCTTGTGGTTTGGCAGGTCCGGTTTTGTCCAGTGACTTCCCTGTTGATAATGCGTCCTTTGTAGCTTCTCATGTCATAAACACGGTGATAGTGACATCCTTGCGTGTGCCATCCTGTGCCTGTTCTTGGGTCTCTCTGGGGCGGGTTCTGGGAGTCTGGGCTGCTGGGCTGTGGTAGCCGGGATGGGGCCACTGCACTCCAGCCACTCAGCCTGGGCAACAGCTGGGACCTGGCTCAGAAAAGGAGAGTAAAGAGTCTGTCCCCTTTTTCCCTCAGTAGTTAACATGTCAATTGCAATTCCCTTCTGGTCACTTGTGCCTTTTCTGATGACGACTGGTCAGTTGATTGGTACACGTGGCTTTTCTTCCAAGACTGGAGTGGGAGCTGTCTGAGCTTTCATGCTGCTGAAGACATGCGAAAACAAAATAATGAAAACAAAAGATAAAGCCATGCACTAGCTATGGATCTCTTATGAGTTTAGTGCCTAATTTCTACTACTTTTGTCTTTTTTCTTGTGAATACTTTAGTTCATTCTAAATAATCTTTGACTGTGCCACTGACTCCTTACGTGCACCTAGCTTTGACGCGCCCGTCAAGCTCCCCCCAGCTCTCTAGCTGGTGGTCCGCCATGTGTATTACCTGCCCCTTTCCTTGACAGGGACGAAGGGCCTGCAGAGTTGCTGGGACTGCAGAGCATGGGGCAAGACCCTGGGCATGGATTTCCGTGGCCCCTTTCTCTAATGTCTCTAATGCTATAGAGGGTGCCAGAAGCGGACCCTGAGACCAGCATGGTCTATATTTGGGTATTTCCTTGATGATTACTTAGAGTGTGTGTAAGACAGATCTTCAGGTTTTATTTATTTAAAAATAAAAGGTTAAATAATCCTGTTGAGTCTAACGTTAGAATTAGTAGCTCAAGTCATTAGTCAGCTCTTGCCTCACTGGCAGAGAGTTTTACTTTTAAATGCTTTTCTTTCAATTTAATTTTAGACTTAGGAAAGTGGCAGGAATTAGGCGAGACGTTCCCAGGTGCCCTGCCCAGGGTTACCTGAGTGCCCACATGTAACTACGTTGATTTCATCACTTCCTGTCCTCTTTTTTCCTTAAGATCCTTATATTTACGATTTACTTTTTCTGTTTACGGATTCTGTATTTAGTGATTCTATTTTTTAAAAAAAAAGATTTCTCAGGACCTGAGGTTAGATAGAGCTTTTGGAAATTCAAGATTTGTGATTTCTTAAATCTGCTGGTTATTTTGTGCAGATAGCCCTTTTTACCACAGATGTTCTTGTTTGCTTTGGTAGTTTTGGTTGTGGCATTTCTCAAAAATGCCTTGGGATTGACAGAGCTGAGGGTAATCTTTCTTGACATAAAGTCTATTGTGTTTTTTGCCGTGGAGCCACTGTATTTAGCACTGCAATGCCAGAGGGCCTATACCACCCACCAGCTGATCACTTAGTAACTCACCCGCCTGCTTTCTCTCTGTGGGCAGAACTCAAGAACTTAGGTTCTGATATCAGCTGACTTAGGCTCGACTCTGGGCTTCGGTGCCTGACGCGGTGCATCCTGGCGGGGACCTTCAGCTCTGTGAACTCCCTTCTAATCTCCAGATGTGCACATGGTCACGGTTGCCTCATGGGATTCTGTGTACTGCAGGGATTGAGTCCGATAAACTAAGTGTGCTGTGTGCAGCTTGCTGTTTGGAATTAGAGGAGGCGTTGGCTGGACTATCTTCTGTCCCTTGGGTGTCTGTGGCTTTTCAATTATTTGTTTGGAGTTCCCTGACATCTCTGATTTCTGTTAGACCCTAAATTTGTAAATAGTTAACTTAAGTCTTTGATTGGCTTGGGGAAGGTTCTCTTAATTTAAATAATTTATTTATCACAATAACTTGGTGGTTTGGTCATTGTGTAACTCAAATTAGGAAATTTTGTCTCTTTAGTTTCTACATAGGTTATTTTCCCTCAGTCTGCCTAGTGTGAATTACAACTTGGTTGTAAATTATATTTCTTCAAGTTTGTGGTTTACTTTAAATAACTGTATGTGAGCCTAAAATCCTTCGTTTCATAGTAGTTTATTGAATATATGGGTAAGAAAATCCTACTTTCTATAATCAGAAGAAAGTGCAAAATATCATTAAAGAGATAGAAGTTCTAAAAAGGAACCAAACAGCAATTCTGAAGTTGATAAGTGCAGTGACTGAAGTGACAAACCTCTCTAGGGGACTCCACAGCAGATCTGAGCAGGGGAAGAAGGTCGGTAACTTGAATCAAGGTCAGGTGAGATCATCCAGCCTGGACACCAGAAGGTGGAAAGAAGGAAGGACGTGAACAGAGCCTTGGGGGCCTGCAGCACACAGACCTGATGAGAAAACATCAAGCCGCACAGCCGAGGAGCTCAACAACTCCCCGCAGCAGGGAGTGCCCAAAATGAGACACATTTGGGCTGAGTGTCTCTTACCCGAAATGCCTCGGAGCAAAAGATTTGTATTTCGGAGTTTTCAGGTTTGGCAATGCTCGTATTATACCTTCCATCAGCATCTCCGACCTGAAAATCTGAAATCAGAAATGTTTCAGTGAGCACGTTCTTTGAGTGTCGTGTTGGTACTCAAAACCTTTTGGATCTTGGAGTATTTGGGTTTCAGATTTTCAGGTTAGGAAGACACTCCGTCAATCAAATGCACAGTCAGACTACAGAGAGCTAAAGACAGAAAGGAAGTCTTTGAAGCAGCAAGTGGGAAGACGTCACTGTCTGTTCATGGGACACCTGGGTGTCCACATGCAGGAGAATGAGTTGGAGTCTCCCATGTGTGCCGTGTGTGCAAGTCAGTTCAACGTGGATCAGATGGGAGATGGGAAGAAAAGTCTTCAACAAACGGTAACGGAGACCTGGATGTCCACACCCAGGGGGATGAATTGGAGTCTCCCATGTGTGCCGTGTGTACAGATCAGCTCCACATGGATCAAACCCCCACATGTAAGAGCCAAAGTTATAACACTCTCAGAAGATAATATAGTTTCGCATCTTTGGGATCATGGGTTAGGCAGTAATTTCTTAGATGTGTCACCAAAAGCATGAACATATAAAGTCGATTGTACTTCCTCAAAATTAAAAACTTTGTACATCAGAGAACACTTTTGAGAAAGTGAAAAATCCCTCAAAGA